GGCACTATTTTTTAAAAAGTTACTCTACAAGTGGCATTACATTTGTTTGAAATTTATTTACTGTATGAAGTAAAGTTCTTTTTGGCTTTTTTACCAAAATGGAGTTACCTTTGATGTTAGTTCACATGGACTTGGGGGTTTTAATCTGACCCCAATAACTGGGGCAGTTGGAAATAACTTAATATTTCCATCTTACATTGAATCAATTCTAAAATATATTCCATATATAGAGAGAAATATAACACAAACTTAGCAGACTTAAATTATATTTTAAACTTAGTAGATGTTCTGTGTGCAGTTAAATATACTATATATGTATAGAATGCAGTGCATATATTTTCTGTATAGTGTACCTGTAAGTCCATAAAGTTCTTACTGCCATTTGAAAAAGATTGTCATTATTGACAGTCAGTGTTGTGAATGCCACAGCATCTTTTAAATCTCAGCTTATCTAAGAAGAACAAAGAATGTGTTAAAATATGACTTTCAGAGTTGATTAATCAAGCTGCATTTGAATTTGTAGAAGAGTTTAAAATTATGCCTTTCCACATTCTGACTGCAGCAAAGTAGATGCTCAGATAAACAAATGCATTTCGGTTTATATTTGGTGTTAAGGAGGGAAAGCCTTTGACACTTTTTGGAGAGTGGAAAGAATTATTTAGTAAAATTGGTTCTCATAGTTTCCCCCACCTCTTCCGTGGTTAGCAACAGCTATAACAGTCTATAATTTGAAGATTTATCCTTGGGAAATACAGTGTATTCTTATCACTCCAACACAAACCAAAATTTGTTATATTAATGCTTAATCTGTAGTACAGTATGTACATCAGATTTAACTTGCAAGACTTACACGTTTTGGGGAGTGGGAAATGGGTGTTAGGATTTCTATGGTTTTTGTGTGTGTGCGTGTGGATATAGAGATTGAAATTCGTGTTTTTGGGTGTTGACATTTTATCTCTTATTTTCATATTTGTACTCAACTTTTGTATTATTTGGATAGCTGCATATATACATGTAGTTGAATGAAAGCGTAATTTGTTAGTGATCGTATTGAATATAACAGTTCTTAATTAAATGTCAATAGGAGAGTTTAGAATACCCCTTTTGTTGCAATACTGTTACCCCTTTTCAATTTAATTTTTAGGATTGGTAGCTTATGTCGATCTTGATGAAAGAGCAATTGATGCTCTCAGGGAATTTAATGAAGAAGGAGCTCTGTCTGTACTACAGCAGTTCAAAGAAAGTGACTTATCACATGTTCAGGTAAGGTCATTACTCAGAAATGTCTTTGAACAATTAATGACCTGAAGTTATTTCACTATTTTTTGCTGTGGAGAAGTGGTAATTTTTGTTTGTGAGTACTACTTCTTTAAAAAAAATTAGTTTAAAGGAATGGAAGATCTGATGTGGCAGTTTCATAAGCATAAGTATAAAGCAAAAGTTATTTCACTATTTTTTGCTGTGGAGAAGTGGTAATTTTTGTTTGTGAGTACTACTTCTTTAAAAAAAATTAGTTTAAAGGAATGGAAGATCTGCTGTGGCAGTTTCATAAGCATAAGTATAAAGCAAAAGTTTCCCACCACCCCTTCATGCAGTAAGTTATTTTAAAAACTTAAAATCAAAGCCATGGTGTAGTGATTGTTACTGTAGGTTCTTAGGTGGTTAAATTGCTCAGATTTTTTGGGCTATCTGATCCTGTTTTATTATCTTGGAGGAAAACGTAGGTGGGAGGAATAGTTTTAGACATGTGGCAAAGGTAGTCCAGATGCAGTTAAGTATCAACAAATGGAAGACTGTGTTTTCCCAGCGTAGAAGGTAAGCTCCCTAAGGTCCACACTGTCTTACTACTGTCTGCCCCAGTCTCTGGTACATAGTTACCACTCAGCAAATACTTATTAAATGAATGGAGTAAATATTTTGTTAAAATCCTAGTCTTCTGAAATTTTAGTTTGTATTTGACCCTTCAAATATTCCTGGTGATTCTTTTTACTGAATTACTTGTCTGTTCTAGAACAAAAGTGCATTTTTATGTGGAGTTATGAAGACCTATAGGCAAAGAGAGAAACAGGGGAGCAAGGTGCAAGAGTCTACAAAGGGACCTGATGAAGCAAAGATCAAGGTAAAACTTGATTTGAGTAATTGTAATGAAATTAAATTTAATGATGAGATCAAATGCTTCTTTACATGTTTCCTAGAAACACTTTATATAGTTCCTGTTTTTAAAGCTAGTGTTTAGAATTGAAATAACTTACAGGAAATTATGTAAGAAGGAGAATTTAGGGAGCCAACATTCAATTGTATATTTAGTGAAAGCCCTAATTCAGACTCTCCCTCCCTCATTCCTTGTTCTTCTGGCCATGAGTGACATAAGTTTGTTGATGCTCCTGATAATAGTTTCTGGAATTGATACAGTAATGTCTCTGGTTCAATTTTTTTCCAAGCACTTTGTTTTTTTTCTCTTGGTAAAAGGGGATTGTCATAACTGATTTTGTTTTTTGTTTTTTTTTAATTTTCAATTACCTCAGTTTATTTGTACAATTTTCTTTATTTGTAAAATGGAGATAGTAATAGTGCCTGCCTCATAGAGTTGGGAGGATTAAATGAATTAACATATGTAAAGCACTTAGAATAATGCCTGGAATGTAGCCAGAACTATGTAACTATGAAGCATTATTATTATCACCATTATTATTTAGATAAATGGCTGTGGGAAGGTAAATATAGTGCTTTCAATAAAAGACCACTCAACGTGATTCCTTAGTTAAATGGATACTGATGTCTTGCTGCAGTAATAGACTTTTAAATTTGAAATAGTTATTTTATAACTGTTTACAACAATGTTGACATTGTACATGTGGCTTATGTTTTAGACAAGAAGTATAACTTGTAGGTCCTGTCATATAACTAACTTTTATATAGCCCTAACTTATATTGTCCTTTTTCTTCTTCATCTGTAAAATGATATAACCCCATTCTTAAAAGATTTAAAAATAATTAAATACATAAAATTCTGTTTGAGGTATAGTCTATTTAAAAAAAACTTGATTGGCTGGGCGCAGTGGCTCACACCTGTAATCCTAGCACTCTGGGAGGCTGAGGCGGAGCAAGAGTGAGACCCTGTCTCTACTAAAAATAGAAAAATCAGCCAAGCGTTGTGGCTTAGGAGGCTGAGGCAGGAGGATTGCTTGAGCCCAGGAGTTTGAGGCTGCAATGAGCTATGATGACACCACTACACTCTACTTAGGGTAACAGAGAGACTCTGTCTCCAAAAAAAAAAACCAAACTTGATTACTGTTCATTGAATAGGCCTATATTATTTCCCTAAAGCTGGCTACTTGCCCTTGGTAGGATATATTATATAATGTTGTGAGAAGGGTTGGTAATCAGGAAACATAAGGTTTTAGTTATTTTTTTGAAACCTGAGTATATTTATTTGGCATTTGCTAAATATTTTGAGTCTATACTGTATGAGAGTTTTTATGGAACTTACAGTATAGCAGGAGTACAAAACAGACAAGGATGAAACAAAATAAAGCTTACATTGTGGAACTTTGAGTACAATAGAAAGAGTAGAAAGATGGATGTAATAGCAACTGAGAGAAGCTGCATGAAGGAGATAGGACTTCTGATTTTTTAAGGAAGAGAACATTTTATTTGAAAAGAATCACTGGTAGAGTTAAGTATGTTATGTAAAGGGAACAAGTAAGGAAAGCAGTCTAATTGAAGTAGGGGGGTGAAAAGATGACGAATACTATGGAACATAAGTATAAATAGGTATCATGGGTCAGTTTATGTAGAATTTTTAGTAATCCTTACTCTTTTTGTCCTGGTCTCATTTATAACAAAAAAGTGGTGTGTGCTTAGAGACTTAATTTGCCTACAACTCTTTCCATTACATGGAAAGGAGCAGTAAAATAAAGTGGGAGCACAATGTATGTGAGAGGAACCAGTATGAATTTTGACATTTTTTTTATCTAACTAAAAAATACATATCCTAAGATGTCGGGGTTCGTTTTGGAAAAGATTATTATACTGATTTGTGTGTGTGTGTTTGTGATTTAATATTCAAGTATAAACAGATGCATAATTATCCCTAGGCCTTGCTTGAGAGGACTGGTTATACTCTGGATGTAACCACAGGACAGAGAAAGTATGGTGGTCCTCCACCAGACAGTGTGTACTCTGGCGTGCAACCTGGAATTGGAACAGAGGTAAGTGTTCTTTAGCTGTTTGCTAAAATCTTTCCAGTTTGCAAAGTGGGAAAAATACTTCATTCCTTTCAAAGTATAGCTATTGGTTTTTAAATGTTTGTGTATATTTTGCTGCCATCATGAGCATGAATAATCATGTGACTGGTAGATACCTAATCACCTTATATAGGAATGTCGAGTTGTTGGAACTGGTTACTAAAACCGTGCTACTGGCAGGATACCTTTTTAGGTGCTTGGGTGAGATTATTAGGGAGAAGCTTTAATGTCAGTAATTTTGAACAGTGCTTGTCCTCCTTCCTTGCCTCACCTATCATGTAGAAGGTACTTAGTGTTTGAGAGACTTAATAATTAGAGATATTGTTGATGGGAGTGGGTTGCACAAGGGAAGGATGTGGAATCAAGTAAAAGGCTGAACATGTTGGTTTGTACTTGAACAAAGAAGCAATTCCTCCTCTATCTGTGCCTTCATAGTGGTTTCTCCATATATATGCCTTTATGCTAGCCTCTTCTAATCCTTTAGAAAAAAGTATGTGCTAAAAAAATAACCTGTGTTATAGCATGGACCTTTTCTATATTTAGTGCCTAGCATAATGCCAGGAGTATAGTTGATGCACAGTGTTTGATAAATGATTGATTGTGGTCTTTTTCTTTGAATACTGAAATTGTCGTCTTCTAACTTAAAATTTAAACTGGATTAAATGATAATCTTATAGGATTTTCTTTAAAACAGAGTGATGGGGGTAGCTTCCTTGGATGGATCATGTAAATATTGGTGATGTAAGTTCAATATTTAGGTAATATTATTATTATTATTAGGTATTTATTAGAGTTAAATATTTAGATGGTCTTATTAACTATTTATTAGAATTCTAAGAAATCTTAAATTCCCTCAAACTCCTATTTGAGTAACTTTAAAGGAAACAGTAATGCCTTACCAAGACTGTTATAAATGGCATGCTCCTAAAAGCTAAAACTTACTTTTCAGATAACCAAAAGCAAAGATTGTTTTTGCTAGCTTGTGAATAGATAAACAAAGATGGCACCATTTAACATAACTTTTTAAATTCATATCAGAATCAATTCTAGTTATGTGTTCTCCGTATATAGAATAGTCATTGTTCTTTGTTCTTTGAACTTTTTAACATTATTACAGTTAATATTCAGTTTCTTAGTATTTAACATTATTAAAAGGTACTCTAAGCATTTTTATTTTTCATGATACCTGAATCATCTACATACGATTATTTATTTATTTAATTTTTTTTGAGACAGTCTCACTCTTTCACCTGAGCTAGAGTGCGGTGGCATCGTCGTAGCTCACTGCAGCCTCAAACTCGTGGGCTCATGTGATCTTCCTGTCTCAGCCTCCTGAGTAGCTGGGACTAAGGGTGCATGCCACCAGACCCGGCTGATTTTTCTGTTTTTTTTGTGGGGTCTTGCTTTTGCTCAGGCTGGTCTCAAACTCCTGGCCTCAAACAATCCTCCTGCCTTGGCCTCCCAGAGTATTAGGATTGCAGGTGTGAGCCACCGTGCCCAGCCTAGGTGTGATTATTTGATTCCCTTTAAAAATTACTCTGTTCCATAATTTTATGTAATTGTTGATAGAGTTGGAATTGGAACTGTGCGCCATCTAGGGTTCTTGCAGGGGCAGATGTTATCCATGAAACATGCAAGTGTCATCAACAACCTCCCCATCCTTCATGTTTAATATTCTGCTTCTGCCTCAGACCTTTTCTAATCTACATTTTATGTGTGTGTGAATTTATTTATTTATTAAAAAAAAAAGAGAGAGGGTCTTGCTCTGTTACCCAGGCTGGAGCATAATGGTAGTGGAACTATAGGCCTGTGCCACCACGCCTGGCTAATTTTTTAATTTTTTGTGGAGACAGGGTCTGTCTGTGTTGACCGCAGGCTGGTCTTGAACTCTCGGCCTCAAGAGATCCTTCCTTGGCCTCCCAAAGTGCTAGGATTACAAGTGTGAGCCACTGTGCCTGGCCTTTATTTCATAATAATTATAGAAACGAACTTTTTTTTAGCATGTTAGATTGGTTTCATTAGTGAACTTACTAATGATGACTTGTTTTATCTTTGCTTTATATAGATAAGGATGGAGTTTGCTGGTACTCTTAAAGTTTCTCTGTGAGCATTTGAACAATTTAATAGATAAACTATTTCAGGTATCCAATTCAGAACAAATCATTGGTGTGTTGTGTGTAAAGCATGTATGCTTTCTCTTATATTGCATTGCCTCTTTAGGAGAAAAATGCATTTTCCTCTTTATTAAATGTATAGCAGATATGATTCCAGTAAAATCTCTATATGAGATCACCAGTGTAAGCCACTCTTGTCAAGCAATTTCTTACAACAAAATTCTGGTGTAAAGTTTTAGATTCCTCTCATAATGTTAAATTTTATGAGATTTGTCCTATATTGAAAATTAAAGTTTTGAAAAATCAGGAAAAATAGAAGGTTTTTAATGTAT